AATTCTGTATATCCGATTTTTGAAATTCATTTTTCTGGCTAAAAATTTAAATGTAGGCTATATTTAGAACATAATGACGTACACGCGTAACACGAACCAACATCTTCAAAATGTCAAGCTGTTACAAACTGCGTGTAATACCTTGACTTCATTGAGCTCTTGACTTGTGTCACGGAATACATCTATTTTATTGGGTTTTACGCTACTGAATACAATCCTCGACATTAATACTGTAAACATCATGGCTTATTGGCTACAAACTTCCCTGATTGGCTGTATTCGGTAGAGTACAATCCAATCAAATTGGTGCATTTGCAGGTAAAGTATTAGTTCGTAACAGCTTGACATTGTGACGATGGGGAACCATGTGTTAGTAGCGTCCGCCTAATCTAGTTGTTTCTTGATCAAGCTGGTCGACACGTGTGAAATATAATTATAAGACAGAAGATGGAACAGCTAATTTTAAAGAATAAGAGACAGATTTATCTTGGCAAGGATCACCAACTACAGAATATCGACCATTATCGATTGGCAATGTAACATTTTCAATTTCTGAACGTTAAAGAATTACACTTTAATATTCTTAAGATAAATGGATTACTTACAGGGCTATGGAAAATAAAGTCAAGTCAAGTCCCTTGGCTAACACGGCTAACTGAGAATAGCTTCTTTACGGTTGTCTTTTTACTCAAACCCCTTTGACTCGCCTTGATTTGGACGTTATTTTAAGTGGTTTATAAGATAAGTTTAAAAATTTAAAAAGACTGTTTCTGCCATGTGTATTTCTTGTGAGATAACCAGTCTCTTTACATTTTCCACCCCTATTAATATTCGTGAACTGCTAATGCATCAAGAGACTATATCATACATATATATATCGCTCTACTTTTATCAACGAAAAGAAACGTTATTTATATATGTTCATGGTTTAGAAGTCTTCAACAAAACAGTGTACTAAATGTTACACCCCCGTAAGCTATACTAACGTTCACTGTTCTGTTAGTGAATATATTTTTGTAACACAAAATTCAAAGAACCTTTAGTACATAACTGGAAATTCAAATTTTTCAATTTAATTTTCAACGGTCTCGTTATACATCATTAGAATTTGTATAAGGCCCCACACGAGGCCACAAACTGGATACAGTACATACATAATAGATGTTAAGGCTTATATAATTTTTAAATTAAATTCCACAAGATAGCACTGCAGCAGCGTCTACATTTCTGAAATCACAAAATAAAATCTTGGTAAGTAATTGAAATATAATACGGCGGTCAAATGATGTAGGTCAGCTCAGAATAATTGAATAAATGACCAGTCGATAATCAACTACAACATAATTTACTTTAATTTCTTTATTAAATCTCGCTAAACTAACTGGTCTCTTGCTAAATCCTTTAACTCGAAGCCAGATATCTTTATCAGATCACTCGAAGCCAAGAATCTATTTAAAGACGAATCGTATCTAAATTCATCTTGATTTGAAAGTTTATAAGCTTCTATGCTTAAGGTAGATAATCATTATCAAATTTGGCGACCGATATAGAATCATTTGTCAAATTATTTGGTTGCCTTGAATGTACACTTCTGGAATATAGTCCTTGACCAATCACAATCTATTAGCTGCCCAAGGAATCATATTTTTCACAAAATGAAGGTATAACGAACACCGTCTGACGTTGAGATCTCAAGGTAGTTTGTTATTGTAGCAACAATTTTATTGGATTGTTGCCTAGCTCATACAGCCAAGTAGATCCCTCGACAGACAGATCGCTGAAAATATAGTTTCGTCTGTAGTCTTTATGTAAAGGGCTCTCATTAGCTGTGTTCGCAAGCTAATCGCTATATTTACAAACTTCCGTGATACAAGAAATGTACCAATTGATGTCAAGGTATTAGACGGAGTGTGTAATGATATTGTCAAGTTCATGGGATCAAGGCTATATCGTATAACCTACATGAATCTGAGAGAAATAAGGATGAATTCAATTACATGTATTTATTATTAGTCGTTGCACTTAACCACTTTGGTCGTGAACAAGACTATTCTGTTACCAAAAAAACACAAGGGATATATTATGGTATAACTCACTTCTTTAATAACAAAGCACATAACGTTTCAACACAATTTTCACGTGTCGTCATCAGATCTCGTTAAGATTTGAACGACATTTAGAAGTGGAGA